CTGCCGCCGCCGCTGCCGCCGCCGCTGCTCTTCGTGTGCATCCTACGAGCTCATCCTACGAGCCAGTACATCGCCGGTCGTTGTCGCGGCAAGTCGCCCGATGCGAGACTAGAAGAGTACACCGCACTGGAGATCGTCACCGATGAGTTTGGCCTGCTGTTCGCTGCTGCCTCTCTAATCGCAAGCGTGTGTGATGCCCGGGAGCCGCTCCAGCACGGACCCAGAGCACAAGTCACCGCGGGAAAGTGGTGAAGACTCGGAGGATGAGAGCGAGATCCTGGAAGAGAGCCCGTGCGGGCGGTGGCTTAAGCGCCGGGAAGAGGTAACATGTTTCTACAACCTCTTCGAATGTACGCTCTATCTATTTGTTTCCTCCTTTTCTCTTCGCTCATTCTCCTGCTGATAACTACTCCATTGAGGTAGACTTTTACATGTTGGACTATTTTCCATTTGGTACCTATGGTGTTAGATGGATTGTTTTCTATTTCGAGCCTGTGCTTTTTGCTGCAGCTTGCCAGAGGAATGTAGGATGTTGTAATAGGTCTGTTTGCGTTGTCCGAGATTTCTTTCGAAAATTCTCAAAATTTCTCTTGAAGTTTCTAAAAAAATTTTTTTACACTCTCTTAAAACGAGATGATTATAGGTAGTCAGATGCTGAAAAGAGAAAAAGCAAAGGTTCTCGGTGCAAACATTGTAAGCAACGCAAACAAACCTAAAGATTTTTGGAAAATTCTATTCTTTCAGATGTTTTTTAGATATTTTTCAAACTTTTGGTTTCATTTATTATAGCAATGACTTATTAGGAATGATAATATGGATTTTAATTGCCCTAACACACCTGTTGATGTTGAAACATGATTGTGATCAATAAAGTTGATTTGTAATATTACTATATTTATATTAAATATTAACTAATTGTTTAGCTGAGTGCTCTAAAAGAGCAATATATTCTTGTATTTTTAAGCCCATTCTACAATTGCATAATCATAAGTTGTAGTTGTAAGAATTGATCTATCACAGTTGAATATTCTTCTCACATTTGACTGTGATTGGTCAATTCTTACAGTTACAACTACTTACAACTACATCTATACCAGTGTAGAATGAGCTTTAAGCCCAATCTACAATTGCATAAACATGGTTATAAGTGGTTGTATTTGTAAGAATTGACTGATTACAGTTGAATACAAGGAGAATGTCCAATTGTAATTGGAGAATTTTTACAACCATGACCATTTGCAACTACATTTAAATAATTGTAGATTAAGCTTTACAATTACATTCAATTACAACTATGCTTACGCAATTACAGAATAGGTTTTAGATTTCTACTTCTAAATTATGATAATTTACGTGTTACATATTACCTATAATATTATTTTTTTACTTATGTGCTTTCAAGATCATTATCGCTACGACATACTGTAACTATAATTATACACTAGATTATAATTATGCACTATGACTTGTAAATACATTTGGACGTATCAAAATATCAAAGTAAAAATTTCATTTATACTTTATTCATGTTTCTCTATGTCTTAGGCCCTTATTCTATAATAGTGTTGGTGTCATTAAAGAGTTACAAAATAGGAGTCTTAATTTATGATTGTCTCTTACATATTAATATCTAAAACAATATGTTTTTGTTTATATATCTTTAAAATTATTTTATATTATCTTTACATACATTACCTAACATAATGTATAATTATATAGATTATAATTATACAATGAAATTTGTAAATATTAAATGTATCAAAATGGAACAAAGTGGAGATTCATATCTTATTTATGTTTCTTTATATTTTAATTTATGAATGTCTTTTAAACAGTGACAATTTTTATTAATCTAAATTTATTTAAAATGTCTTTATTCGCATTATAATAAATATTAACATAATTCATTTCATGTTGCATTTATACAGGTGGTTATATGTATCCAGCTGGTTCAAAAGGTTTTAGATTAGAGAATTGCTTTTGCATGAAATATATCCTTTAGACTATTGTGCTTCTCATATTATTTAGTATACTTCATCTGTATCTTAACTTACATTCTTGGCACAAATGTCTAACCAATATTAGGTTCATTCATATTTTATCCTAAAAATAGACTGCTGACGTTCTGTTATCGAATGTATAAATCAATGAAATTATTTTGATCATGCTTACCTCGCACGCAGCTTCTCTGCTTAGAAATAAAGCAATCTTTATCGTCTTAATGACGTTAGTAAAGATTAGTTTTATGCTTTGTTATACAGTTTATTCTAATATTTATCTGAATTCTCTTTTTGTACTTGGACCATTTATTCAAATATAATTATTGATCACATTTTGTGAAATATTTTTCTCACCGATTTTGCACCATCATATGATTTTAATAATAGAAACTAAAACATATTTTTTATTACAAATAATTTTATTAAGTTTTTTTATTGCCATGTGTGCTTCTGTATTTTATAATGACTAAAATTTGTAATTTATCATTAATTCTTTTGAGTTATCAATGTTTATATTTTGTAAAGTAAGTATTGTGATTCTAGCTTTTTATATTTTATGAAAAATAATGGCTTTTATGAAATAGATTAATAAAGATATTATCTTTTATATGTATATTTATGTGTGCATAGAGATAAATCTTTATATCTATTTAGTATATTTTTTATTAATTGTGGGAAATGTGCCTATTCAGGTATATGTAGGTTCCAAATCAACGTTAGCTGAGGGTTCTAGCTTCGGATCTACACGAGGAACAGAAAACGAAGTTACTGATACAATGGAAGTACGTACATTGCAAAGCAGCAGGCAGGATAATTCCTATGTTTTATTGTACTTGCGTTGAGTTATTTATTTCTTTAAAGTATTTTGCACAGAATTATACTCCACTAATTTGAATGGAGACAACAACAATTTACATGCATTATACTATTATGAATAAGTCCGACAAGTTCAATTATTATCGTTAATGTCTACAGTGTGGCAAACCCTCTTCTGAATTATCTCCCCCTCCTCAAATTCTTCACAAGGTCACATTCATGTAATAGTAAATAGGCATTGAAATCGTTTCAACACCACTTTAAGTACACTTAAAATGGATGATTACGGTAATACAGTCCATTATACTATATATAGACTCATAGATTACATTGAATAAATCTGCTCAGTTACAGTAGCATGTATTTATAAAGCGTTTTGACAATATATTTTTGTATTTACGTCTTACTTAAACAATATCCGAAATAATGAAATACTTGGATAATAGCCATAAACTCGAGTATAATTGAATATATTGACTACATAACACTAATTACTAACAATATTATATTGCACTATATGTTTTTGTAATAAATGTATTTTTCATAGTTCTTTACTTTTTGTTAAAGTAATTACAGAAATATATAGATTTTGTATATATAAACTAATGCTTGTTTATAGGTGGAACAAAGAGATGTTCCAGGAATTGACTGTGCCTATTTGGCGATGGATACAGAAGAAGGTGTTGAAGTGGTATGGAATGAAGTGCAATTTTCGGAAAGGAAAAACTTCAAGGCCCAGGAAGAAAAGATACAACTTGTTTTTGAGAACCTCACGCAATTGGAGCACCCTAACATTGTTAAATTTCATAGGTATTGGACAGATACCCATAATGACAAACCCCGAGTAAGTAAATTACTTATACATATTATGGATACAGTTTTCGTTGCGTCTATATAATACAATTTGCATATTTTTTATTAACATTACTTTTATATTATTTTTCAGGTTATATTTATAACGGAATATATGTCATCTGGGTCCCTGAAACAGTTCCTAAAACGAACGAAACGTAATGTAAAAAGGTTGCCGCTACAAGCGTGGAAACGGTGGTGTACGCAAATACTTTCTGCACTCAGGTATAGCAATATATATAATATATTATACAATATATAAATACAGTGTATACAGGAGGTTCCGAAATTCGAGGGTAATGTTATTACAGTGTGAAATTTCGTAAAAATTAAGTAATAAAAGTGTAAGTCATTTTTTTCCATAAGTTTTTTAAGTATAAACATTTAAAGTTTGACTAATCGTAAGCGTTAGTTAAAACGTCATCTGTTCGTGTGATAGTGTGCATGCAGCGACAATATTTTGTTTAGTATCAATTATCATTGTACGCACGTCTCACGGACAAATGATTTTTTAACCAACGCTTATGATTAGTCAAACTTTAAATGGTCATACTTAAAAAATTACTTTACGGAAAAAAATGGTTTAAACTTTTATTACTTAATTTTTCATGAAGTTTCACGCCGTAATAATATTACAATGAATTTCAAGATACTCTGTGTATACAATATAAGTAAATACACATGTAATACATACTATACAACTTATTCTCGATTTATATTGCGTTTGAAATGTTTCAGTTATTTGCATTCCTGTTCACCTCCTATTATACATGGGAATCTTACCTGTGACACTATATTTATCCAACATAATGGACTTGTAAAAATTGGTTCAGGTAAGTACTTATGTAAAAAGAAATAGAATTTTCTCTACATTGAATATATAATGTGTATAGAGATATCATTTAATATCTAAACAAAATCAGATAGCTTGTCTGAATTTACATACATTGTATTTGAATTTGCGTATGATAAACATAGATCATCATATGATAGGATCATTATTTTCTGAACGAAAGTAATACGTAACAAGATGAGATTATATACGTATATGTATGAGGTATTTTCATCTTCTCATTCACAGGTTGTGTGTAGAAGCTTATGTTTCTATTTTGTCGTAATTTTTCATCTGTCATAAAAAACGGCAAATTTTACGCCGAGTGATTCTTTGAGATACAAAGACAGTAGCAATTATATTTTTACTAGGTCTCTCCCTTTTTTGTCTTTACATAGGATGTCAAGACTCAAATCTTATAGGAGGCATATTTTACTCATTTAAATGAGCAAGAAATACTTAACACTGCAATATTTTTTTGCTCAATTTATCATATGTTTTCTAAGTGTCGAATCTGTTTTTTTTTTAGCATCCATACGTACAAAAGTGAAGTAGATGTTCTCAGAAGTCTATCGTGCATATACATATATGTACTTTGTATTTACTCATTACTCGGCTGAAATAAATAATAATTATATGACTCAGTTCCTGACTGAACGAAAACATGACAAATAATATGATTCATCATTATGTGTCACATAGGTGCTTCTCTAGTGATTTTGGCACACAAACATCACGGAAAAATTTATTTACATAAATATACATACGTATGCTCAGTTATGTCTTACAAAATAATTATTTGTTTTAAATAATTATAATTGTAAGACAGTATCATCAAATTGAATATTTTTAAAACAATATTATTATGGTGTATTTAACAGGGATACATATACCAAACATGATATTTATTAATCATTTGTAAATAGTTAATTTTTTTTTAGCGTAAATAGCGTCCTTTAATATATAATATATATATATATATATATAGAGAGAGAGAGAGAGAGAGAGAGAGAGAGAATGTCACGCGACTTTAACAGTGACAGCTGTGCGGAAATGTGCAATATGAGTTGCGTAGACATATATCCAGATATCATATATTCTACTTGAATACAGAATTATACCGAGTTTAATTTAAATGGTGTTTGAAGAATTATTTATAGATATTAATACTCTATTATAACACGCGTTTCCCTGTAATTTTATATGATGTTAGTAACATGAGTCCATTAGAAAAATTGTGTTAAATTGCCTTTTCATATTAGGAGTAACTTGAGTCCTCATTTTTAATTGTAGCAAATAGGCTAATCTAGATAATGAAAAAAACACAGCAAAGCCTTTGAAGAGAGAGGAAGTACAAATCGTACTTTCACCCATCCAGAGGATAAGTCCACCAACGTCGGTGTCTGGCGTTATTGGTCAATTGGTGTTATTGTCAAAGGTGATGAATTTCAAGAAAAAAATCATTTGGCAGATTGTCATCAACTATTGCCAGCTAAGTAAATTAGGCATAGAGAGGTAAACAACTCCTATACTAATTATTAAGTAGCTCCATTAAATGTACAAATAATTAAAGTTTATTTTTATTATGTTAGTGCCACTATGTTGCACTATTTATCTTGTTCTGATTATTAATTGTATTTAACTAAGAAGGGCAAAGTGTCTTCCGTGTCTCTTTGTCCTTCTCACAATCACCTAGCGCACGCATTTTCATTATATTTTAATATATACATAGCTTTTTGTTCATATACTCTATAATTCTTAATTAAAGGATTTTACTTTCTAAATTTATACTTCTAACGCAACAAAAGTAGTTCTTTCTAGCAGAATGTGCAATCAACAGAAAAATTATGGTTTTTTTTTGCGAAATAATTTATGTTTTATTTGTACATCTGATCATCCAAGGGACATGCTTCTCTTTTCAGAGACACTTTTACATTTATACATGTGAAAACTATTAATTATATGAGGGCTCAAGTTACTTTTAGGATAAATTTTCAGCTGAAACACAATTTTTCTAGAAAGGTTTAGTCATTCATCTTGGCAGCAAACATACGGAATGCGTAGTTAAATATTATATATTTAAAACTATTGATGTCCATTGTCTATTGTTTATAATGTCTACAGGAAGATATATTTTGTTTACATATGTAACACCTACATAATTCTGTCTGGTGGCTGCCCTACCAACTCTAACACATTATCGAATACACATTAATATGCCATTTTTATGTTGACGTTTTTCTTGGAACAGTTTGTGAAAGTAGTAATGATCTCTTTTTAATTACAGTAGCCCCAGACGCAATTCATCATCACATCAAGACTTGTAGAACAAACATGAAAAATATGCATTTTGTTGCCCCAGAATATGGAAGTAAGTGCGTTGTTTATACATACATGGATCACATTTAAAACATTTTCAAACAATTTGTTATTTCTTTTTAAGATTCCGTCACACCTGCCATTGATATTTATTCGTTCGGGATGTGTGCTTTGGAGATGGCTGCGTTGGAAATTCAGGGAAATGGTGATACGGGTACAATTGTTACCGAAGAAAACATCCAGAAGACAATAGAATCTTTAGATGATGTTCAACAAAAAGATTTTATTCGTAAATGTCTTCAGGTGGACCCACTTAGTAGACCGAGTGCGAGAGAATTGCTATTTCATCCCGTTCTGTTCGAAGTACATTCTCTCAAGCTGCTTGCAGCACACGCCTTGGTCAACTCAGCTAGTAAGTTGAAGCAAATTGTGTATGATCTATATGCTCTTTAATTTTTATTATTTAATTTTTATTTTTTTAGAATAGCTGGGATAATTACTTAAAGATACTTATAATGATTACGATTATGAATCACACATAACATTGAAATTTTTTATAGCTAACATTTCGGAAACAATCACAGACGAAGTGTTACAAAGGCTATATGGACCAGATACTGTAGTTGCCGAAATAAAGTATCAAGGAATACCTCCGCAACAAATTCGTTTAAGTGATATTCCTGTTACGGAGAAATTAGAAAAATTTGTTGAAGATGTAAAGTGAGTATCTCAGTTGTGAGATACATCGACCTGGATTTTGTGTCTTATATCGGATAAATTGGTAACCAGAGTGCTTTTACATTGCCAGGTACGGAATATATCCATTGACTGCATTTATGGCGAAATTACCTCCGCCTGTCCGACCGAGGGCGATATCGCCCGAAGTGACAGAATCGGTTAAATCGGTTACACCCGAGCCCGTGGACGTGGAGTCTCGAAGAGTAGTTAATATGATGTGTAATGTTAAGCCTAGAGAAGATAGTAGTGAATTACTTGTGAGTGGTCCATAGAACATTTTAGCGAAATAACCTATGGAGTACGTAATCAGTATATTATTAAATCGATATATTATTTTATTCAGATGACAATATTGTTGCGAATGGATGACAAAATGAATAGGCAATTGACGTGTCCTGTGAGCCAAATGGACACCTCAATGCTTCTCGCACAGGAACTTGTACATTTTGGATTTATTAATGAGGTAAATTATCTCGCTCATATCGCCAATGAGCAATCCCGTTTTGCGAAAGTTTAGTTTGCTTTAGCAAGATGCTTATTGTTGCAGAACGATCGTGATAAAATAGCCAATTTAATTGAAGAGGCATTGAGGAGATACTTCAACAAGCAAATAGTGACGCCAGGAATGGTATCATTAACTAATCTTCCTACTCAAACTACTTTATTGCTGCCTGGTTCGGAATTTCCATGTCTGCAACATTTTGACAATTCCGTGTGCAACGCCACAACATCCAATAGTGATAATGCAACTAACCTGCTGCCAAAAACCTCAGGTATACCTGTGTCAAGTAACAAAACGAGTAAACTTCATGATGATGCAGAACCGCCGACAATCAGCGAGAGCGGTAGTTAACCATCCAGGACGTCTGATAACTCAGTTCACTGTGCCACTTTGCACGCTTTATGTATAGACTGGCTATGTATTTTTATATTTAAGTAAACAGAATGAAGAGGAATGGAAGTAAAAATGGGAGGGTGCCGTGGCTACACCTCTAAGCTGAATATGACTGCAAATTAGGAACTGCTTAGTATATTTACTTTCGTATTTAGGCTCTTGAAGTAATACTTCCGTTGTCAAATTTCGTTGATCCTCTATATTCTATAGTTTTTACGTTATACAGGTCTCACCTGTTATATCGTTATATAGGTATGCGACAAAGAATGTATAAATCTAATGTAAAAAGACCAAATACTTGTGATTGTATAATTAAGAGGATAATTAGAGGTCTGCTGGATATTGATTCATATTTATACGAAGCTACGTACGATTTGATACTTACCTGTCGTAATCTACCTATCGGGATACAGTTACGAAAGTTCGTTATGAATCATGTTTCTCATAACATCTCTTAGAATTACAAAACATGAAAATTAATACGCCGAAATTGTATATCATGCTTTTCATCATGACAACGTATACCATAAAATTTATTTTGTGCGTGCAAATCGACAAAAATTAATTCGATTATCCGTAAGAAAAAAAAAACTATCTCTTCATTGTACAGCTATTATAAAATCCATTAATATTTAAATATTGTATGGATTCTTAATTTTTTCTTTCGGACAAAACTTTCTATCTATTAACACATTTATTATTTTTGTCAAAATACTCAGTCTATTGTAAAGTCTGTCAAAAAAAGTGAGCGAATATAAATATTCGCGAGAGAAAGTACAGTAGCGTGCTTGTTCATTTTACTTTTAGTTCTGTAGGCAAGATTGTAAGAGATGTAATAATGGCTCAATAGCGTAATTTGGTAGTAATCGGATAAAGCCACGGCCCTGCTCTATACTTGGGTATTATTGATGTGATTAAACCAAGATTAAATCTCGATAAAATTAGCCGAAAATCCTTGTAAATATTTTATATTTTTAAGAAAAATCTGTTGAACACAGAAAACTAGTCATATAGGTATATTCAAGTGCTAACAGACTAACACAGATCTTATTACGTCTTTTGCATTTATAACACGTGCTTGGCCAAGAGAAATACCGCTCCAATTTCATACCTCGGTCGAATCAATTTCAGTGAAGCATTTCTCATTAAGTAAACGACTAACTCTACTAGAGGTACCTATTACCTACAACATAAACTTCGATCTTAAGTATGTAAGTAGATTATCAAACTAAATTGAATGTGTATAGCTTTATAATACAAATTATAAACGACGAAAAAAAGCGCGACGACTGACTCGTGGATATTATGAAAGGGCTGTACGATGACAGTGATAAATAAATACTTTAACTCGGAAACGCTCAATTGAGTACTCTCACCTTCTGAAAATCTATATAATAATCATACATGAATCGAATTTTTACGCAGTACATTTTATTCTTTAGTATTCTATTTATTTATTATGAGGAACAATAAAGTCTCCTCATGGTATACAATGGACGTGAATGTAAATGTTTATAATAGAGCATGAAAATTTCGAGATTATATTTAAATTTAAAGTAAGTTCTGATGGATGGAGTGCGATGATGATCACTTGTCGCATCGAATTTTCTTTTACGACTATCGCTGATTCATGATCAACGATCAAATTACAATTAGCGTTCTGGTGCAGAATATACGAGAATATAAGAAATAAGAAGGGATTATATGTATATGTACTTTGGTTTGCAGCTCCCAATACGTTCATATCGCGTTATCACGTTGACTTCTCATTACATAGTAAAAACGCAATATTGACGAATATTATCCTAAATAAACTACGATACATGAAATGACTTGCGATTCACTTATTTATGTGGAAATTTGTGGTGAAATCCATTTTGTACAAATTTAACAATCTATTGCACTTTTGTTGCATGTATTTCACGATCTTGACAGATTTCAAGCTCCTTCTTTGGCGTGCGTGCGATTAAGCAGATAGTCAAGATCGTGAGAGATACGATCTAGCATACCGCTGGTCGCGCTATCGCAGCCACCTGTCGTTACCACGATCTCCGGCGTCTTCTCCTCGCCGTCGGGTTGCTTGCGCTCACTCGTGTTGGCGATGTCCGGCATAGCGCTCACCACGTGCTCCCGGCTCTTCAGTTCCACACTTGTCCGCGATGACAGTTCGACATCGCTTTTTACAGCCAACGTGACGTCTGGCATCGCACCTAATCGCGACTCCACATCGGCACTGCAGAGAACTTTGGCCGAGGACTCGGAGGACACACTCGCTGTCGGCAGAAAGGTCTTGCCGTCGCCACGATACTTGCCCGATACGTCGCCACGGAAGTTGCTACGTTCATTAACACTATAGGCCACTACATCATTGACACAGCAAGAGCTACGTGCGGAGAACGTCGAATCGACGAACACCTCCTGATACTTTCGCGGACTCGTATTGTAGTTCTCAAGATCGATATTATCTGAATGATCTATTCGGATCTCCGGCAGGAATCTAGTCGCGGGGACGGAGGACTTGGCGTAGGTAGACGAAGACTCGGATACAAATTCACGCATATCTATGCTACCCGCGGCGACGCCTCGTGCTTCCCTATACGGCTCGCCGGCGATTGAAGACGACGTCGGGGGAGTTGCTGAATCGTTTTCCACCTCAGCGTCAGCTTTCGAGCATACTAATGGATAATATGAATAGTATTAATATTTTGTAAATCAAGCTTTGGCGCTTTTTTTACAATAGTTTATAAAAATTTCCTTTTGATGTCATAATGCACGTCAATAAGTTCACATCGCAATACCTTTAATGGGTTCGGACGTGTGTTCATCGTCCAAATTGCGTTTCCATCTGATTCTCCGCAGCATTGGTCCGATAATTGCATTCTCGCTATTAACGATGTATGCGATTATTATACTGAAGCCCTGCGTATCAATAATTAACGAATAATTTTAATATATTTATTATTTATTATTTAACCAATATAAGTATCGTTTGCGAAGAAACTCACCAGAGCGAAAGATAAGGACGCAAATACGTAGTGGAAAATTACAGATGATGAATTTATGTAGAAAATAGAAGATGCCTCCATGGCGATGATGCCGCATATGACGATAGCCGCGCGGTGCAATATTCGTATTCTGTGACGGAAAAAAGATTGAACGATTGAAGATTTGTAAAAGAGTCGTCCAATTTTACGAAATATTCTGATGCACCTATATACCTTGTTTCTATAGCTTCTCTCTTCATCACATTCTCCTCCACTAATGTGTGAACTTTGTGGAGCACCCCCATATACAGTAGTATGAATACTAAAAACATCATCGTAGCGCAACTGACAAATATGTTATAGACACCGCTGCCATATATAAGCCACCAGGATTCGTGTCTCCATCCTGTACTCTTATGCGTTAATTCAGTTGCAAATACAGCCAAGATCGGAACACCTAAGAAACAGTGATTACAAGTAATGCTTGACTATACGCATCTTTCTCAAAAGCTCTAGATTTAGATCTAGGTCATACCAGTTATTACAGCGATCACTGTAGGTTGAAGATGTTGGCTCGGTCGAATTTGCGTGAGCTCGGCATATACTATTAGAGCCTCGGAAATAGGCGCAGACATGCCCACGAGGAGGAACGCCTCTAATCCTATCGCTACGAGCGAGTAAGACGACTGAAACAAGGAGAAGTTAGTGAGGATGTTAAATTGGATCGGATTATAATTTGTAAAATTTTCAAATGTGCAGTTATATTCAAAACGAAGTGTCTGTATTAAGTTCAAGATTCATATAACAATTTTATAATTTATATAAGATTTACTTCATGATAGAACATCATATTTTAAATAGATTTAAATTGTAGAGTTAATGTTCTAAATTTTTTTTATAAACAAAGACATGATTACCTCTGGAAGATTAGTGTGGACGGCGTAAATGAAGATAGCCATTGCGCCTATTAGTGCGCCGCAGCATTGGAGTTTTAGAAAATTCAGCCAGCTTTTGTGCTTTCTCCAAAAAGTGCCTAGTATCAGAGCAGATAGCAAGCACTGAACAAGGCAACTGCTGCATCCGAATATTATAATGAACGTGGTTTGTTCCGTTTTCGCCAGTACTACCTATAACGTTAAAGAAATTGATGAATGACGATAAAATGTTCTTCGCTTATATGGAAAATTTTGTATAGATAAATTCCATCATACATAAGAATTGTAGGATATGCATTCTATAAGTAATAAAATAACACGAAATGTTAAAACATAGCTTTTCTTAAATGAAGCTATATTTACTTTTACTGCTCGGGTCGTCAAGAAAACAGCTATTGTCCCCGTAGTAGGGCACAAACAATGCGTTACTACATCGCCGGATACTGTGTTTGCTATGCAGGTATCGAGATCCCACGATCCAGTGTTATCTATTAGGCCGCATGACGTATTCCAGGAATTTGTCTGATTTTGTAAATGCCGGATTTGCAGATCGACCCATATCTTGTTATATTTATCGATACCAAAGGAGGGAACTGCGACGGCGATCATTCGAGAATTAATGCGAAACTCTAGGTCCGTGCCATCACTATGGTGATAAAATTATTACATTATAAATTGAAAAAATTAATCTTAGGAAAATTTAATTTAATTTTAATTTCATTATATATACATATATATATCTATTTTTAATTTATTAATTTTAGTTTCACTAACTTAAATAAATTTTCAAATTCATAAAAATAGACAAGCTTATTCATGCCTTTTGTTCGATTTTTTTCTAAATAAATCAACTTACTCGAGTTCCTTAATATACGCTGTTGGTATAAAGCGTGACATGTTTTTGTATACGATAACAATTCCGGTAAATGTGTTATTAGACTTTATATTACGCTGCTTCTTTTTCCACAATCGTATAGCTACTTTATCTTCGTACCAATCAGGATATCTGCCACAAATAAATAATTTATATAAAAATACGAAAGTTTGAACATAATTTTAAACGCATATAAATAAGTAGAAGAATATATTATTTTGGAAGATCTCTAAAAAGAGAAAATATATTATGTAATAATTATAATAGATATTAATAAAAATAATTACATATAATCGGCCGAAGGTATTTGAAGAGAATGCGTTATACTATCTCCACTCTGAGATTGTAGTTGCTGAATATCTACAACCATAGATGATAAAGACAGATGTTTATATATATCTTTCAGCTGTTTGGACCAGTGAATTAAATTTCGTTGCGTTAGTTGAAGCAACATCGACAGTTTCTAAAAACAGATGATGATTTGGAAGTTTGTAATTTTGTTATAAGTAGGGGAAAAGAGAAATTTTGAATATGAAACAGATTTAAGTAAATATTTTTTGTAAATTCTCTGGGTGAAAACAACTATTATTTTTTTTAACAAGACTGTATTATGACTAAATAATGAGGTACTTTGCAGCCAACATAAATTTTAAAATAACAGCTTTATGTTTGAAATTAAGCAAAAAAAAAACATTGTTATTTGAATCTTATTGAAAATCAAACTTTTTTCCTACATTATATTTACGTTATCTTTACCTCTTGACTCAGGATCGAATATTCATCGCTCAGTATGCGATTTATTATGTGACTCAAAGTCTCCGCCGAGTTATATGCATCTTGTGGATCGATTCTGTGCTGATATCGTTCGATTTCAGCCAACATATTTATTATACGATCACCTTCGCCAGGATAAAGCGGCAATGCACGTTTGCGCAAGAGTTCCCAAAAGGCGAGGATCGTGTCCGAGCTCATGATTTTTTGATAACCCAATGTCAGACTTCGAAACTACAAATTAGATCGATTTCACAACTTATTACTTTGATAATAGATTTGGATCTTTAATCAAATATAACAAATCAAACTTTGATCGTGAATTAAAATATAAACATTTTTACTAATTTCCTGTTTTATTTTACATCAAACATATCAACTATTTTTAAATTTCCAATTTTCGCGTATTCAATAATAAACGTTAAAACTTATTAATAATCAAATATTACAAAATATTGCAATGGCCTTTTAATTTTTATGTGCATTCTCTAGTTTGTTTTATCACAATTTGTATTTATTTAAAGATGTATTCCATACATTTTATATTACTCTATCAAAAACAGAGCCATTTTAATTGATTCTAAATAAGTTCTTTCGGTTCCTTACGAGATAAATCAATTATAAAGTTTAAAGAAAAATACTCACATTGTTATATGGTAAAATCAACGGTTCATATAAGCAGGATGAGAAATCCGGTATTTGCCATTCGGGTGTAGTAGCGTCTTTCATCGAGCACAGCCTGGATACTCGTCGACCTACGAAATATCGGGGGCATTCTAATAGTGCCTCTG